ATAATATATATATTTATTTTTACCACAGGCCACTTGCTAGCATTAGCAGCAGCAGTGGCTCTCAAACTGTAGAAACTGCCTTGCCCTCAATAGGCAGAGTTAGTTAAGTTAGTTTTCACAGTTTTAGATATATAAGTATATACTTGATTCAAATTACAAGTTTCTGGCTTTAAAGATGCTATAAATAATAGTGTTTATGTTATACAAACAATAGTATTTGTCGATTTGCCACGCCCCCCCAAAAGGCATGCTCAACAACTTTTAATACCTTATCATATACACGACTACTAACTATATATATACATCTATTCCAAAGTCCATTCATTTATTTACTTGCTATATCAGACAGACGAGCGCACAAATATGCTCTTTTGACTTTATGAGCGAGTATTACAAATAAGTGCATCAACTGATAATAGAATCGACAGTCAATGCAGAGGCTGGGATCTCTGTACGACCCATGTATGTTCTGGATGTTTGACTAAATGCTAAACGTTCATTTCCTCAATTAGATTTTGTTTTCATTGAATAAAGCATAGCGTAAAGAGAGAGATAGAGATAGGCCAAGAGAGAGATAGAGAGAAAGAGAGGAGGCGGCTTTGTGCTCCACTTGTGAGTAACAAACAAACCAATAAAAATTTAATACTAGTAGCAGGCGGCAGTTGTTAAATACATTAAGGCTTACGCCTTATTTAAGAACTGAACATTCTTTCAGATTAAATCGTTAGCTTTACCTTAAACAGGTGTAGTTATATTTATGTAAACATATACCTAATAATCATATTACGTTGTTGTTTTTCTTTAATTGAAGCTAAAATATAGTAATTGATTTGTTCCATCAATCTAAAATTCCAAGTGCGTAAAGCGGTCGACCTTGTAGACGTGTTCAAACTGGTCAAAATCGAATCAAAATCAAAATCTATATAGTATATAGACAGTATTTGAATACGTTAGTATGGCGTGGCACCGGCTTAGCTTAGATCAAATTCAATTCAATTGCCGTCGACGTCGTTGCAAACGGGCCAACGTTAACAAATTTCGAAATTTTCAAATCAAATGGAATTCAATTTTCTGTAAAGTTTTATTTTTTTGCCAATGCAAAAATCGAATTTGTATGCAAGCATTTGCCTCAGCTCAAAGTTAACGAAAACAAACTGCAGTTGATGACCAAATGATAAAAAAAAATCATATACAAATATATAGACAGCTTACAGCGTAAACAAAATATATATAAAAAAAATATATATACACACATGGATTTATATCCAAAGAATATAAATCAAAAGAAACAGTAAGGAAACCCAAAACTCTGAGATATCATTTCGTATGCTTCGCACTGGCGAATGCTTGATGAAGTGACTCGTTTTATTGATCTAATTGACACGTGAAGTGCCACATTTAGAAGATGGACTTACGTAGCGGATTCACCCAGAGATAAGCTCGATATGAAAGTCTGAACATAAATTGCATAAGATTTTTCGACGTTCTAATTGATGACTAAGCGAGATCTCTAAGAGCTATTTACTTGACAGACAAACACTTGGTGAGGAAATGATAGATAAATGAACATAAATTGAATTGTCAGCGATTTTACGGGCATAACACTAGGTTTATTTATTATTAAATATTAACATTAGTCAATTTGTATATTTGTATGTAAAGCTCCTGTGGTCTTAGAGGGGGCTCAACCAGATTTGCAATATAAGCATTCTTCAGTGGTTCTACATATAGACCTTATCATTATATGATGTGTTAATGAGGGCGTGGCAATGCCAAAAATATCAATTTGGTGCTTGAGCAATTAAAGACGTTGCAATAGGGCATTACCGACTGCAGAATACAGATCTATTTTACGCTTTGACAGTATATGAATAAAGGGTTACACATTTCATTGGATATTGGAAAAAAGCAATATACTTATTTAGATGTCGTGAATGTGTATAATAAGGAATGCATCGTAATTTGCAACGGAATTCACTGATTTTCATTAATTTTGATTGGTACAAAAGTGAGTTTATCTGTCAGGTTGTGGTTCAGGCAATATGTTACCATATTTTAGTGTTTTCTTACATATATATCGTACTGGTACCGTTTCGATTATCGTAAGAGATGTCGGCACTTGCATAAAGTACGTTTCGTAAATAATTACTGCACCTGTCAAGCCGTAAAACACATTTAATGCATTTCTTCATAACTGATAACAATAAAATGCCATTATATACATACATATATATATAATTATATACATATATAAATGGGATCCATGCAACGTGAGATCTACGCCTTTATCAATAAACAAAAAACACTTTCTCTCTATAAACAATTACAATAACTAAACTAATTGACAGAATAATATCATCTCTAATGGGCCAATTGCATTCGCTATTAAATTACAGTTAATGAGCCAGTGGTAAATTGTTCTATACAAATTGCATAAGGAATTCCATTTTTCAATTTTTCCCATTTTCGCGTATTTAAATATAAACAACAATCAAGAACAGTTAGTTGTTGTTGACTAGAGGCCATTTCTGTTTTCAAGGTTTGTTTCATCATTTGCATTGAATCGCGACCGTAGCCCTCCCTAGTCATACCTGTCTATATGTATGTAGAGATATATGTATAGAGTCTAGACAAATATAGTCGCGAATTAACATTAATTTTGGGATATCTTTGCATATGACGCAGAATTAATATTTTTACTGGGCAAACGTTTAGATCTTGTATTTTTGGTGCCAAGCGCCTCGGAATAATCACTTGCTAAATGAATTCATTCATATTTGCTAACGAATCACTTGTGACTTGCTCGATATCGACAGGTACGCAGCAGATTGAAGCCGATCCAGTTCTACTATTGTGGAATATTTTGATAGCCAACACGGAGGCACAAGCCCCCAGAGTCTTATCGAAAAAAAAAAAAAAAATCAAACCTTTACTTGAATCAGATTTTTATATAGCTTTACGTTTTTGTTTGGACATTCCGTTTTTGGCGGGCGTCAAATAAAAAGTTTATAAACAAATTTTTAGTAGGTATACTTAGACTACGTTGCTCCACATATAAATAGAAGCGAGCACACATTAAATAAATATGTATGAGAAATCACAAATTTGATACGTACAAATATTAAATATCTATTTTTAGCACTTCACAATTTGCACCGTTACCGCAATATATGTATATGTATACATATATTTAGTTTCTATACGCGTTTCTTATTATTTCTTGAGTTTTGGAATTCAAATTTGTTGTTTCTCGAGCGCTAATTATCACACGCACGCGGCGACACCTGTTGACCGCAATTTGCAATATTTGCCGAATGCGCTCACACGATGTTAACAGCTCTGCGGCTCAAACTTTAATGAAACGCTGGCATCAAACAACGAACGCAGATCAGCGGCAACACAATGATGATAATAGCATGGAAAGCAGAAAATATACCGAAATATATACAAATCGAGCAGCCAGGCAACCAGGCAGACACAGGCAAGCGAGCAATTGAAAGTGAGAGCATAGCACTAAATAGCAATCAAAACAACAAGTGGGAAACACTGAGTGAGAGAGTGAGAGAGAGGGAGACTGTGAGTGAGAGCACACGCTTGGGGGTGTAGGCTGTTGAGTGCGTGCATTAGGTAGACGAGTTTTATCAGTGGGTGGAATAGTGCCAGACAGATAGGGATTTATTATGTATGAAAAGAAGAGCGAGAGAGAGAGAGAGAGAGAGAGAGAGAGAGAGAGCGAGGGACAGGGAGAGGATGAGCGTGCAGGCGCGTGCAGGTTTTGGCTGATCGTTGTTTTTTTTATTGCCTGGCAAATTTATGTTGCGTTTGATGTTCATTTACGTTTATACGTGCAGCTTATCGTAAACTGACAAATCAAAACTAATATTAACTATTTATGCCAACGGACTTTCCGTTCAAAGCGGCCGCATAAACATTGAGCATATGTTAATCTATTCGTAATCGCGTTGGCGTCAATTTTTATCACATAATTTTAGTTTTCTCACTATTTGTTGCCAGGAGCGCACTTATTACGGCGCTGAAGTTCGATTTTTGTTTAAATATTTCGTCGTTCGTATATTGTATTTCTTATCGCATTTTAACTGTCGATAAGCGCATTTGTGTAGAAGTATAAACTAATTCTGTGCGGTTTATACGCTTTCGTTTTAACACATACTCGATATTGTCGTCGGCCCGACAGTTAAGCAACAACTGGCCGTTGTATTTAACAAAAGTCTTTGCAATTCTTTCAGAGCCATATCAAAGGCAATTAAGCATGGAGTATACAATAAGCACGCACATTAGATAAAATAGGCATGCGGTTAGGGTAGCACAAGTGCAGTTTCTTGTGTAACCAAAATAGTCACAAATGCAAAAAACCAGGTTTAAAAACGTAGAGCTCAAAGCCTTCTGTTTATTTATTTATAATATAATCAACAGCAAGCGCAAAATTTAAATTTCTTAAAGCCTAATAGATGTGGCAACACTGTCTACGACTGTCATCGACCAATCGATGAGTCTTGGTATTTTCCTCCCAAAAAAGCGGTCACACTGGCCTGTTGCTGACATCTAAGGCTGTGTTTTCATTCTCCCGACCAAGCAGATTAGAAACTGCGTGGAAAAGTTTTCAAATAATTACAAATTAACTTTTGTTAGTTGGTGTAGAGTGCGCCACAAAATAATGGCTGCCATAGTGCTAACTAGGAACATGCAGCTGGCCAGTAAGTCGCCGAGCAACCAATTAATTTGGGTGCATCGCAAAAATTATGTAATGTTCGTAGAAGTTTTGCCGATCTTAATATAAATGTTAACTTTGTAGAGCATCATGGCAGCGGTATCGTTGGTGTGGTATGCTTGCGAAGCTACAGCGCCGCCGCTGCTCCGCCCGATCCAGATGCACCACGCCCGCTGAAGACAACAAATCTGGCTGCCATGAAGCGCGGCACAGGCGGACGCAGCAGCTTCAGCGGGATTGTGGCCACGGTGTTCGGTGCCACCGGATTTGTGGGTCGCTATGTGTGCAACAAACTGGGCAAGTCGGGCAGTCAAATGATTTTGCCATATCGCGGTGATGATTCCGATGCGATTCGTCTAAAGGTTTGCGGTGACTTGGGCCAAGTGCTGTTCCATTTTTACCATCTCGATGATCCGCGCTCCATACGCGAGGCAGTGAAGCACTCGAATGTGGTCATCAATTTGGTGGGTCGTGACTACGAAACGAAGAACTTTAGGTTCAAGGATGTCAATGTCAATGGAGCTGCGCGTCTGGCTAGGTAAGCCGCTGCAGATAGTTGACAAACTTATTTAATTTAGTTTGTTTTCGTAGCATTTGTCGGGAATCCGGCGTGGAGCGTTTTATACATTTGTCTGCGTTGAATGCTGAGGCCAATCCTAAGCCTCATTATATCTCCGGCGGCAGCCAATGGCTGAAGACCAAGTACGAAGGCGAATTGATGGTGCGCGATGCCTTCCCGAATGCCACCATCATCCGTCCGGCCGACATTTATGGTTCCGAGGATCGGTTCTTGCGCTACTATGCACACATCTGGCGTCGTCAGTTCCGCTCGATGCCACTATGGTATAAGGGCGAGCGCACGGTGAAGCAGCCTGTGTATGTTTCGGACGTGGCGCAGGCGATTGTCAATGCTGCGAAGGATCCAGATACCGCCGGCCGCATCTACCAGGCTGTGGGGTAAGTTCTTAAATGCATTTGATTGAATTAAAGTAATAATTATATCTATAATTAATTACAGACCCAAGCGGTATCAGCTGAGCGAGTTGGTGGACTGGTTCCATCGCCTGATGCGCAAGGATCAAAAGGGTTGGGGCTATCAGCGCTATGATATGCGCTGGGACCCCACTTTCAAGCTAAAGGTGAAATTCACCAACTTGATTTGCCCTGGTGCCCCAATTGGTGGACTGCATCTGGATCGCGTTGAGCGTGAGGCCGTCACTGATAAGGTGCTGCCCGGCGTGCCAACGTTAGAAGATTTAGGCGTGCAGCTAACGAATATGGAGGATCAGGTGCCCTGGGAGCTGCGTCCATATCGCGCTGCTCTGTACTACGATGCGGAGTTGGGCGAATTCGAGACTCCGTCGCCGCCAAAAACAATTGCGCCACGCGATGAGATGCGTCTGTTTGCTTAAACGTTATGAATTGGAAATTCTTAGTGCGTCTATCAATTAAAATAAATTGTCTATAAATTAAACGAAACTCAAAAACAATTGTTTAAAACAATAAAGTCGATGTATATAGACCTATGCGATATATGTATCGTTATTCGGTTACGCTATTCAATGTTTATTTTTAAACTTTAAAATCGCGGGTTTACCAACACTGTCAGCTGTGCGGCGACATTATGCAATACCACTAACCAATCCGGTTAGTGGCAATACTTAGAATGGTGCTGCCAGATGGTGCTATCGCGGCGCAACCCTAAAGAAAATCAAAACCAAGCGACATTTCGGCAGATGCAGACAACACTTGCAAACATTTTTGAGGTAATTCTTATTTCCTAGCGGCAAAAGCTTTTGCAGTTTTCCTTCAACCTTGCGCCTGTGCATGCTGTGCGACGCGGTAAATCCGCACAATCAAAAGCGTCTGAAAATTCGATTTAAGTGCCAACTTCTTTAAGGCAAAGTACCAGTGAAAAAGTGCACGCACTTAGTCCGAAAATCGGTATTTATGTGCATATCAATGAGTGTAAAGGTGTGTGCTGAAGTGTTTATGTGTATGTGTGTGTGATGCGGCGCGCTAACACAAAAATGGCAAGTGCAGTTAGACAACTATGAGAGCTGAATATGTACTTCCTACGAATGTGTATAATTATTGCTATTCGAATGAAATAAATGATTCAGAGCTAAATAGATTTTCATATTCGGCAATCGAAGTGAGCCGCATCAATTTCATAACAGATAAATCGATCGAAGCGCAAACGTCAGTGTCCCTAAACGAAAGCCCTGGGAAACCGAAAGCCTCGACATTTCACCAATACGGTGCGGGGGTGCTGTTGGGTGTTGGTGCTGTAATAGCAAAAATCATCTGCTGGGGTGAGCAGCAGGAAACAGCCGCAGCAGCAGCAGCAAGTTTCAGCATCAGCTGTGACGCTTGCAGCAGCAACTACAGAGGCATCAAAAAGCTCTGCGCTGACAAACATAAAATCAAAAGGCAAAACCAAAGTCAACAGCGACGACGACAGAGGAAGACAAACAAGCAGCAGAAGCAGCAGCATAATCATATCCATCAACCTCATTATTGTCATCATAAATTACGTTATTGTGTGCGCCGTAAAAGCCTCGCGCTATTCTTAGATTGTTTGCGCGAGAGTCCATCTATTCAGTTTGTGGACAGTAGCGACGTCAAGGACCACGCCCACAACCGACCTTCGCAGCCGCCGCCCACAACAGCAGCAGCAGCAAAGGAAACAGCATCAGGAGCAGAACGTTTACATCTGCGAGCGCCGCTGCAGCGCAAATACGCAGCAAACAACGTCGACGGTTGCAATTTCAAATATAAAACCGAAATTTATGCTTTATATCGTCACGTCGAGAGTCGTGGCACGTCGGGTCAAGTGCAACAGCAACAGCAGCTGAGAGTCGGTGAGATCCGATTGCGCTTTAAAATGTTATTCGCCGCTGCTGCTGCCAGCGCCAACAAAGCCGTTCGTGTGGGGGCTTCAACAGTGCCGCCACCACTGCCGCTGCCACCGCCGGCATCGCTGCCAGCTGCGCTGCGCCAGGATCATCAGTTGACCATCAAAAACTGCTCTAAAACGCAGCCGGGCGAGCGCATTGCAGGTGAGTGCACATACACATGTCAAGCCAAAGCTTTTCCGCTCTCTCGCGCTTTTGAGCGTTCGCTCTCACAATCTTAAGCTCTGCCACTACCGCTGCGACTAGTGATGATTACCGAAATGACGCTCTTGAGTTCGTTGCCGTCGTTTCGTCTCTGCCGACGCACAGRTTCTGTTTATTTTGGATATTTTCTGTTTTGTTTTTATGTTATTTATTTTTACGATTCAGCATAGGTTTATATATAAAAATATTTGTACGTACGTATAAATATCATGGCTATAATAAGTAGCTCTTAACAGTTTGTTGATTCTTACGTAAGAGACGACGCGACAATTTGTTTGATCAGCCTTCGCCTTGGTAATTAAATCATTGCCAAATTTAATTTATTAACAACAATTGCATTGCCTCAAATAGTTTTCGACGTTGGGTATGCAGTGTGTCTCATAGTTTGCAGATGGCGCACAAAACTTTCCATTGCGGCGCGTCAGCCAAAGCAATTCGAGAATACGAACAAACAAACGAAAACGAAACAGCGAAACCCCAGATATAGTGTTATATAGAAAACACGTGCAGGCTCTCTCACACACACACTCCTATCCTATCGAAAACGAAGAGAGACACAGAGGCGACACATAAATATTGCTTAACCCGTAAGCCGTAAGCTACAGCGCTCTGAATTATTGCTGCGACAACAAAAAAGTTGCTGTAGCACTAACTTTCAGATATGAACAATTTCCTATTTATTATTTAATGAATCAGCAATTTAATAAATATATAATTAAATGAAGCGTATGAAAATCAGCAATTTAATAAATATATAACTAACAGAAGCGTATGTAAATCTTTGCCTATGGTTATGCTCCAAACCTTTACCTGTCACTCGAAAAGTCCGCTCCTGTTCAGTAAGAGCTGGAAGACATACGCACACCGAAAAACTTTATCTCTCTCGCCCTCTCTCTCTCTCTCTCATTCTTATGCTCAATTTCATGGTGGTTTTGTTGTTGTTGCTGCGACAAACCTCACCAGTTTGCCGGCTGTGCTTTTCTACTGTGATAAAAAGAAGCAGAAAAACATTCTGTGTTTCAGGCATTTAAGGCTAATGGCGAATGGATAAATTTAATCTGTTAGCAAGGGTATGGCATATGTATGTGGTATGAGCGCAGACCAAGATATAGTATTTCCAAGTGAAAGTGTGGAAATATGTATGTTCGAAGTGTTATCTACTCTGAGTGTTAATTTATCTTGTAAAACTGATAGAAACACAGCTGTTACGTACGCTGATATAAAACAATGTGCTTAGGTAATCCTATACATACATGCATATATTCTTATGTGCAGCTTTCTAAGCCATAATCAATAGGACAAGACCTTGATAAAGCATTTTACAAGTATTTTAGCTTTCATTTTTCAATTGCCTTTTGCTGACTAATTCGTTCCACACGAATTTCTATGGGTTTTAATCAGGTACATAGTATATGTATTTACATATAATTGGTAGTGGCTGCTATTATCTGGCTATGTCTAGGTCTGGTAGTACTTTACGTAGAATCTCACCCAGGCTATGTCGTTGAACCCGGACGCTTATCTCGCTCTGTTGCTATGCAAAATACAAAAAAAAATAATAATAATAAGGAAAACAAGATTAACAGATGGCCAATATTTATATTAAATACTAAAATTAATTATATGAATTTTTAAACTACGTGTTCCATTTCCCTATATTACGTATTATTGACGTATTATTTATAGTATAGTATTTCAGTAAAAATTTTACAAATTTATACAAAAATTTCCATTTGTCGTTGAACCAATTAAGTGTCAAACCAAATGCGAGTTCAACTCTGTTGCTAAATTAGAAATACACTTCGAAAAATCTTACATACCTACACACAAATCGAACAAACATTTCCATTTGTTCTAGAACCATTTGAATATCAAATGTGAAATTCGTCTTCAATTTTGTTGCTAAATTAGCTAATATACACTTTGAGAAAAAGTCTATATGTACTATGCTGATATGTTTGACGGAAACAATTTGATCTAGTTAATTTTGTTTTGTTTTGTTTTATTGAGTAGCAGAAATAATTTATTAAAAATGAAAAATATTTAATTTAAAAGAGAGTAAATTTGTAGTTATTTAATTGCTGATGGTGGTAAAATGAATGGCAGCGAACAGTATGTAAGTTAATTCATAAATACAGTTATGCAAAAGCATACATGCTTTGCGCCGTTGGAGAACAGTCATTGGTAGCTTTTGAGAGAGTGTAGGAGCATCGGTGAGCTTCCGTTGGTTAATGTCACAGCGTAAGAGCGAAAGAGAGAGAACCAGAGAGCGTAAGCGAGAGTTCGGAATCGGAAGAGCAAAGCATAAACTGCGATTAGCGTCGACTGTTGCCGGCCCATCCATCCCTATGTATATCAGTTACCCTCGGCTCTGCCGTCATTGTAGAAACCCACGTTGTGGCGATCGGACACGCGCTCGCTGCCCCGAGTAAAAGAGACTACTCTCAAGAAATTGTAAAGCTTCTGGAAATATTTTTGCACGCTTGATTTATAAATATGTATGTCATATTTAAATATATTGATATATATTTCAGGTACAGCCACGTCGATTGCATCTGCTGCACCAGCCAAAGTTGAGCTAATGGAGGCCATGAAGAAATTGGATGCCGATCTGGTGGCACTATTCGCCACAGCCGCTGAGCCAAACATGGATCAGTTGAAGCTGAAACAGCAGCAGCAGCCGCATCTYAACAATGTGGAGCAACTGTGGCCGGAGCAGGTACTACCGGAACAGGAGCTGCCATCGAGCCATGCGGCCCAAGATCAGGCGACACCAGAGCTGTTCAAGCAGGTGAATGCCCTGCAGCTGCACTTGGAAGCATTGACACTCCAGGCGGAGGGCACCAAACGCATGGAGCTGCTCCAGAGCGAAGTGCGACCCATTTTCACTGTCGAATGCCAGCTGTCTGATGAACTGATTGCCTCAGTGCCGCGTGGTCCCATGTTCCACATCATGCAATTCGAATCGGAGAAATTCCAAAGTCTCACCCAATGCACACGCTTCGGGCAGACGCAGCAGCGACAGATACAGTTGCCCGGAATGGAAAATGATGATAAGGAAATGGGCAGTATTCATTTCACGATCTGGTGGCGCGAACCGGGCACCTGCCTGAACGAGATGCTGGGCATGGGCCAACTGCCATTGGCCGAACTCTATCAGCAATCGCTGCTGGAGCAATGCAAGTGCATTGTCATTCAGCGTCGCGACCTACATCTGGCCAGTCTGTATCTGAAGATCAGCTTGCGTAACGATCAGCAATTGATGATGTACAAGACCCTGACTAATGGGCCATATGAAAGCAACAACAACAACAACAGCAACCATGGTGCAGCGGCTGCAGGTGAATATATATGACTAAAGTCGTGTGGGCGCGATCAACAGCAACAGATACACCAGCTACAACAACAGATACAACAGAACCAACAAGAACACCAACAACTACACCTCTACTGCACCAGCAGCAACAACATCACAATTTTGTTGTTGCTTTTAATACGGCTCTATGATCAATTGGTTGAAACTATAAAAACGCTGCCCATCATGTTAAAATCAATAAATATTTTTTGTTTATTTGCAAAAGACCAAAAATCGAACAATTCTCTCGTCTTTTTATGTTTAATTATCCACCACAAATCATATTCACTTACCTTTTGGCCACACAGCGTACGACAATATTTATTTATATTTATATATAGTCATACATACATACATACGTTTTTTCCTTCATTGTCTGCTTATTTTTAATGAATACATTTTAAGTTGCGGCACAGTGGGATGAAAGCTTATGAATTTTGTTATGTTGCCAAGTCGCGCGCCGAATTTTATCAGCAGATGGCGCTAATAACACGTAAGTGTTATGTAACAGAGCATCATAAACTCAGAATGTTAAAGTTTGCATGCTTAACAGGCAAATGTTATTGGTAGCGATTGAGCTATGTAAAAATGTCGAGAAGCTGTAAATTTTGATATTGGAGAAGTATTTTTGATCAAAGTTTTGCAATTTTATAAATTGAGCTCTTTAATATAAAAAATGATCCTTAATGATCAATGTACTTGAATAATATTAAACCTCGAAGAGATAGGTTATAGGTTAATTGAATTCGCGATTTGATTAATCAAGGTCAATTCACAAATTAGCTTTCATTCAACGGTGTTTTCTCGCGCTCTGCTCCACTGCCCAATCTTTCGCACACGGGATGCGCACATGATCTAATCGGCAATTCCTGCTTCCAAGCGCATTGAGCTTCGAATGGGTTTACGCAAGCGATAACGACGTATTCCATTGCTGATTCAGCTCAAATATATATATAAACTATATACAATATTAAGCACATGGCAGCTGGGAGTTCAAGGTGCAAGGAGTCCAGCTATATATGATCTACATGAAGTGCAATCTCGTTGATCTCTACTCCCTCTCTCTCTTTCCCCAGGCAAGAACCAGAACAACAGCGAGCAGGGTAATTCAAGGGGTATTGCGACATCTTCACTAGTTGCCAACAATAACAACAACAAAGCTTCATTGGATATAGTCAATTTCATGGCCGAGACGACCAAAGTACGTCTGCTGCGTGGCTATATCTTTGCTGGCGAGACGTGTCACTTGTCGGCCAAAGATGCCGCCAACTGCAAGGAGCTGGTGCTGCAGCCCTTCTGGCAAGCCCAGGAGCTCATTATTGAGGCAAATCCCCAAGGTGTCTTCCAGCTGCAGGAACAGTTCGCCATCATCAACGATGAGAAGTTTCTGCAGAGCGTGGAGCGGCAACAGCTGCTGCTGGAACTGCGTCCACTGGGCGGGGAGGTGCGTCTGCCGCTGCATAAGTTCTTTACAGCCTACAGAGATGCCGCCATCACCAATCATCTATGCAAGGGCAAAGTGAGTGCAGAGCTCCATATCTTATCTATCTCTTCTCTCTTATCTTACTGTCCCATCTTCCTACCCTCAGCTGCCTGTAATTTCCAATGATGGCTGGACGCCCATTCTGCATGCCGAGTCCCAGCAGAAGCTGGGTGAGCTGAATGTGCTGCTGGCCATTGGCAGCGAATCGCAAATAGCACATTTGAAGCAGCTGCGTGGCTTCGATGTGGAAAACAATCAACAACAGCCGCCGTTGAGACGCACCTCAGATCTGCTGGACATGCTCCAGAGTGCGCTGGGCACCACGTCCGTTGCTGTGCCAAAGGCGGTGCCCGCTGCACCCGCCACTGGGAGTCAGTTTAGCTTCAGCTTGCAAATTGTTGGCGCTGCTGGGCTGCCGCTGAATCGGGGCTACGGTAAGCGTTGCATGAAGCAGCAGCCGAAGCGGCTGCCTGACGAGCCGCCCAGCACCTATGTGACCTTCCAGGCTTTGGACTGCACCGATGCGCAGACCTACAATTCGCACGAGGGCTTGGTCTATGCCACGCCCATTGTGGAGCGCTCGACGACGCCGCAGTGGCACAGCGAGTTCCAGGTGAAAGTGAGCGCCGATTATCTGAGCAATGTGAGTGGCAATTCAAATAACCGTTGCAGCTCTCTGACGATCTGGCAACGCTGGCGTTCAAATAATGAGTTACAATTTAAAAATGAATTTCGCTTTGCAGCCGCAGAAACTGTTTATATTGAAAGTGTGGAAGAAGAGATATCTAAACGTGGGCACAGAGCCATCGCCTTCCGCGGATGCCATCATTGGATTCGTTGCCTTGAATCTCAACCAGAGCGGAACAGGCGCCAGCTGGCCCAATGGCTGGCACAACATAGTCGACTTCAGCGGTCGTGTAACGGGCGGCTTGGAAGTGCATGTGCGGCCACTGACTTCTAGTGGCGCCGCCTCAAACGTGGACACTGCCATCGATCAGTTCGAAGAATCTCTGAAGCTGCGTCACCTGCAGCTGGGACAGGCAATCAAGCGTAAGTTCACGGAGCTGGAGCAGATCTCGAATAGATTGCGCACACGACTGGTGGATGTGACCGGCGAGTCGTTGCAATCGCCGCAATACGATGTGGACGCCGCGCTGGACAATTGGCAGAGCGACGAGCTGCAGCAGTGGCACGAGGACGATGAGCTGGTGGCCGAATTTGAGCGAGCATTGCGCACCCCAACGCCACCGCCGGCAGCTGACACAGAGGACGCCAACACCAGTAGCACACCCACCGCACAAAATGCAGCCGACGCTGGCAAGGATTAGCCCAGGCTGAGGCTCAAATTGCACCTATGGCACACCACTTTTGTCGATGCACTCTTTTTTCACGTTCTCTTGCTCTCTCGATGTCTACGAAACAGGCTCAAGCATAGTTATATTACAATTATTAGATAACCACCACTATTTACATACACATACATACATATATATATATAGATATATATACAATTATATAAAACATAGTTATATATTCCCATGTGCTGTACTTAAATTGGCAAACCATTTGCCGCGATTCACCTTTGCAAAGGCTGTCAACTAGCAAGAAATCAAAGGCGTTCACCTGGCGATCGCCATTTTCAAATTCATTTTGTCCGCAAATTGAGACAAAGAAAAAAAAAACTGAAGGAATATAAAAACAATTTTTAAATATTATTTTAGGTTCAACGCTTCTACTGAGGAGCAGTCAGATATTAATGCGTTAACCCTTTTGGCATCAATTGCCACATAAATATGTATGAGTTATGGAACTGTGTTAATCACCTAAGTATTTAGTCATTATTACTTAATACAAATGAAATGCTATGCAACATTCAAAATCACGTTTTTTCTTTGGGACTTGAACACAATATGAACGGAAGTTCATAAGGGTCGTTCCGCAGCTAACTTAACGTTTATGCTGGAGTTGGGTTCTTGAGTTGAGTTCTTCTTCTTGAGCTTCTTATTCACTGATCTGCCTCAATACAAATTCTGCTGCAAACTATATATAAATGTCAAGTACAGCTATTTAAAACGCAATTACTGGTTCCATATCTAATCTCTTTGTATTATATTTATTTAATCATAAGAGCTTGGCTGATAAATAGCTAAATTATATCTTATAAACAAATGCAAAATTTTCTATAGATATGGCGAAAGTAAATAATTTTCGATTAATCACTTCTTGACAACTAAGTAGAAGCTATTTAAAACGCAATTACAACTTCAATAATCTAATTTATCATTAAGATCTATAAAATCTATCTATAAATAGCTAATTCATATCTTACATTCAGGCAAAAGCAAAATTTCCTATGAATATGACGAAAGCGGCAAATTATTGTTTATTACTCATTTGTTGACGTCTAAGTGAATCATCACAAATCTAATATATATACATAAATATATATATATACATATATAATCTATACAAACTGCTTCTATCACCTGATGTACTCTTTCTGTTATTTTGATTTTGTTTCTCTGTCTTCAAGTTCAAGTAACAAAAATACATTTTGAGTCGGTTTTAAATACGTGTTGAAAAATATTTTTAATATAAAAACGGTTACATTCTTAACTTAAAGCTAATGTGTGTATGTGTGTGGTTTGTATGCATTTTTATTTCGGGGATAGTCGTAGCTGCATACCGAACTTTTCAGTTTTCACTTTTCACTCTTCTATGCTAGAAAATAAGAGGACAAATTATAATGATTGATATACATACATATGTTTCTTTCTACACGATTCAGCTATAATATGTCTATATGAATATATATATGTGTGTATATATATACGTATATATTTAAAGTCAAAGTTCTTAGAATGCATTTTTGTTGTTTTTGCTTTTATATATATATTTTTTGGCGAATGATGATTGTATGTATATAGTTGTCTAAACTCTGAAAGAGCGACAAATCTTTTGCAAGGATATTGAATAAGCTTTAGACCGCTCGTCTGTTTATTTTGAGTTTAGTTCGTGTTTATGAAGCTGTTGTTTTCCTTATATAAAAACTGTATAAAATTGATGTGTATATAGAAAAATCAGTTTGAATCCCTTTGCCTAGCCGTTAGCTTGTTGCTTACAAATTACATAGTTATGCTTATGTACTCTACTATCATTAGATGTATTTTATGGACATAATGTGCTGTAGATTATTTGTTTCTTTGTGTTGCGTTGTGTTATGTGGGCTGGAATACGTTTGGCTGGTTGTTGACACTGCTTCTTCACTCAAAATGGAACGTTTAATGTTCTGTTTCGCCTGTCGGTAAATGGTTATGATGTGCATATTGTTGTTGATTAAAACGTCGTGTTTATGTTATTTATAGTGTCTTTCAGTCAATGACCACGCGGGTGAGGAGTATTCCGCGCTTGCTCAGCCAAAGGCTATAAATAAAGGAGGGACAATTGTTTTGTAGTATCACTTAACACAATTTGATAATATAATTATATAATTTACCCGAAGCCAGCGCCCAGGAGCAATGAGAGCACATTAGTGACCAGCAATGAGTACAATATTTCGCGGGAGAACAGCGAGTTGGCGCCCAGACGCTTTAAGCGTATAGAGTAACCCGAGCTCTTCTTCTTCTCGTCATCATCATCGTCATTGGAGCGCTCAAATTTCCAATCTCTGCAGCAGCAGTGAATAAGAAGTAAATAAAAGGCATTGAAAAAAAAAACCAATATAATAATGCGAAACAACAATGTCGCTTACTTCGGTGGCTGTTCATCGGTGCCGCGGTTCCAGTTCTGCAACCAATCGGCATTATCGGTGTTTTGTTTGTCGCTATTCTGTTTCGGTTGATGCATATATAATTAGTTCAAGCTCCAAAGTGACAAGGTCAAGTTAATCTTTATCTTCTTGACTCACCTTAGTCCAATAATTGATATAAACATTTCGCAGCTCGTCGTCCGGGCACAGCTCCGATTGCGGACTGTTTGGCGGACTCTTGGGGCTATCGTGGGGCGTGTCGCGACGCGAGCTGGCCAGAGACACGACGCGACTGGACTGATTTGATTCGCGCTGCGCCTCGCGCAGCAAACGTAAATATTCCTCCCCACTGGCAAATGGCAGAGGTGTAATTCTGTCGGGACTCTTTATGCCAGCCATGGCAGCTGTTGCGCTCAATTCGATCCAAGATTCTGCAAACAAAGGACAGTCAAAGTTATTTATGAAGATGATAATGAATTTATAATAAAAGTTGATTAAGCATCATAACAAATTTCTGCATATTCTTGCATTTAGCTTTAACATGATTATTTAACCGTATGTTAATTCACATATTTATAGTAGAAGTATTAGCAGTTGAGACTCTGCTATTAACAGCGCTTATTATTTTCAAGCAGCTGCGTATTGATGAAATTGGCTGACGCATCGTATAATAGATTTTATGTGTATAACAGAATGCCGCAGCCAGACCGGCTGCTGATTCTCTCTTCCTTAGCTTGTTTTGGCTTTACATTTCATTTCATAGCAGAGTCCGGCATTAATGCTTGCTCTCTCTCTCCTTACATGGCGGCATTCACTGGTTTAGCTTGCTTTCGCTATTTAGTCTACAGTATAACAGAGCCCGCCAAATTACGCTCTCTTCCGTTGCTAGAGTTAAAAGCATTCACTTCTTTAGCTTGTTTTGGCTTTTTATTTAGCTTCACTTTGCTATGCTAAAGTTTAACCGCGCGTGGGCAGATGTCGTGGCCCCATTTATTTTGTCTGCTTATCGGCTGTTTTTGGCGTTTGATACCACTGCGCTGCACGTTAACAGAGCTGTTAATTTTAACAGCGTAAACAAAACTACCAAAACAACCGCCTCCACTGCCTTTGTTTGTTTTGTGCAAGGTATAAATGCACGTATATATCTCTTTCTGTATGTGTGCGATCTGCGTGTGTGTGGGTTTGTGTGTACGAGCGTGCGCCCCCATTGATAACGCAAACAAAACACAATTTCCGTTTCAGTGTATTTCCCATGCATGTTTTTTGTTGTGTCTACTGGCTATCAACAAAAATTTCGTTTTCAAATAAAGCAGACGACGAACGGCGAACGATGATGATTGCAATTAGAGCAGCGTGCAAATTACATGATACTGTGTGACAGTACTAGTTGCTGATAATCGACATAACTGTTCTAGGGTTGTCAATCAATTACGCCACGGTCTGAAAAAAAAATCGCATCTACACTCACGTGGCAGACCAATCATCTCGATGCACGACCTGTCGAAACTATACTAAATATTCGCAGACAGACTTTCACAAATTTGCGAAAAACAAAATACCCAAGAACTGACAGGTAATTTCGTCTGCGTCTTAGTCTTCTACAGGTAAATAAAAATCCAAACAATAACAAAGCTGACCCATAAACAGGTTCTACGGCGAAATGGTAAAGCCAGTAACAGCAATAAGGGTAGCAAAACAAAACAAACATGGCTTGCTGACTCACAGCACGTAGGCAAAGTGCCCGACGTCGACTCTCTTCTTGCAGTCTCTATCTCTTTCGCTTGAAGAGTGCATGTGTACGTATGTGTGTGTGCATCATGCGCAGCTGTTAAACCCTGATCCGAGGCTGTCAAGCGTACAGCCCAATGAACCGCCTTTTGTTGACTGCTTATAGGTATTGGCGCACAGATTCGCTTACTTTTATCACATACACACACGCATTTGTGTCCGTAAATAAGCTACATACAAATATAAATTATATATGCATATGTATATAACACACTCACACGTTTTTGATAATGAACCCCAAGCGACGCGTCGCAGCGAATATAGGCTAGGCTAAAGTCGCAATTTCTGGACTTTGCGAAAAACAACAAGAACAAGTGCCAAATCAAAGGCAAATGCCCTCCGACAATTGCCTTTAAACGAAATTTCGCACACAAACAAACATATTCACAGAAAAGCCGCGTGACGTCAATTTGCCAAAATAAGATAAATACAAAATACAACCGTAAATATAAAGTGCATATTGTACACGTATGTACATACAAATGTATGTGTATGTATGAATGTATGAATGGGGCGCTAATTCCGTTGCTTCCATATACCACTTCTTCTTTGTCTGCTTTCTGTTCGATGCGAAGTTGCGAGTCTTTGTTGTTGTCATCGCCTGACAGGCGGCTGCTGCGCTGCGCAAGCGAGAGATATGTACGTGTGGCCACACACTTGTACATATATTCGTAAGCAAAGCAAAACAAAACATGACTGACAATAACAAACTGGAGCCTTGAAATAGTATATGGGCAAGTGCAATGGAGATGTGGTTACAGTTATACCAACTTATACACACACACTGCCATAGAGAGACATACTGACATGAATACATACAGACACATAAACAAATCAAAAGCAACATCTATTTTTAACTGAACACAAACAATAATAACAACAACACGTCATACTAGAAGCACTGCATTGTTATTATTATTAYTATTGACAAATACCAGCACACACACACACACATTTGCACATTCTTTGATGTGTATGCGTGTGAGTGTGTGTGCATGTATTTGTGTAAGTGTGTGATCGCAAACTTACCACCCAGCAAATCTTCTGTCGATTTTGGTGTCGTAGACATTTTGTTTTTCTCTGTGTTTGGTATTTATAGTATGCTACGTTCGTTCAGTAGTTGAAATTCTCTTGTTGTTTTTTTCTATTTGTACTAAACACGTCGTCAAAAGATAACGTGTTTGTTATTGTTGTGGCGCACAAATAAATTTATGCAGATTAAACTAAACTTTTTGCCAGAGCGGCCCTTGTATTGCACTTATGTGTGTGTGAGTGGGTCTTCGTATTATATGTGTCGTGTCTCTTGTTAGTGTATGCGTGAGAATATGCGTTTTATTTTTTAAAGTTCCTGTTCCGTCTGCACTGTTGCTTGTTTGTGCTTTTAGCTAAATTTAACGGCTGTCGTTTGCTCTATGTATTACTGTTTAATTTATAATATGCTCTTTCTTTTAGTTTAAGTATAATACACAATTTTCTTTTACGCACGCTGCAAAAACCTAATGCGTAGTTCAGCTAAAGCTGCTGGATGCAGCGAAAACACAAACTGCTCGTCGAAAAACACGAAGATGACTGCCCACAAGCACAACAATAATATGCGACAAGGCGAAAACAGAAGCGAAATGCGAGGAAGAATACCGAACTTAGTACGGCGTTGCCAGACAGTTAAGAGTGTAGCCCTGTTATTGATTTTGCGCGCACAAACAAACTTTAATTACCGTGTTTTCAAAAACAAATCAAAAGTTTCTAAATCACTTTTAGCCACGTTTCTTACAAAATAAAAATTGTTGCCCTGCACAATTTCACTTGGTGAAATGTACAAGTCCTTCTGCGGATCGTATTGAGCACGTCCTAGTAGCTTTAGAAACTCGTGTCGTTCTCGCAAACGAAACTCTCGGGAGGCAAGGAGCTCGGGACATTGAATAATCTGTGCATGACTCAATCCCATATCGTTGTGCACATAGCTAAAGCGCTCGACAAGATCATCTGGAGCTGAAAAGAAAAGAAGTCATACAATTAGTTTATATATATAGGAGCATTTATATAGGCTTTACTTACGGATCATCATCAGACGTGGCGTATGGACAATTAAAGTTTGCAGCTCCTTGTTACTGAAGCCCATTTCTTCACGGAGTGTGAACACGGATTTACGTATATGTTCCATGTTGAAAGTTATCAAACGTGGCTCTTTGGTAGCCAGCAAGCGTAGATCATGGCCGCTCAGGTGAAACTCTTTTTGGAAATAACCTAAACGTCGATCAATACGTCTAGTGGAGTACATTAACCAATATGGGTTTTTGGTGAATATCCGCTGAAGGGCCTCAACTGAGAAACGTTTACTCTTCATGTAGTCAACACGCGTTTGCAAATCATCTAGATCCTCCTTGAATATCAGTGGATTTTTAGTGATCATTTTACCAAAGTCATCCGCCGATATTCCTTGGTCTGACAGAAATGTTAAGTAGGGCTTCACATTTTCCTCAAAGTCCAGTTTCAGCACAAACTGACCCAAGCCTTTGCGCCGCTCAATGCTGTGCAGATTAACGCCCAGACTAAGCAGCTGCTGCAATGTTTTCGAGTTGTTCACATGGGCAGCTAGATTAAAGGTGGGCACGTGCGCCTCCCGGATGCCAAAGTCGAGTGCGACAGCGTTGTTTTGTTTCTCATTCGGTTCGGCGAGCCTCTTTTCGGTTGGTTTATCATGCTGTGCCACATCTGATTGTTCCAGTGGCACGATAACATCACTTTGCACTCTTTTAAGTGCACGTATATGTCTTATTTGTTCACTAATTTGATAACATTTTGTTGTTTTCGAAATTCTTGTTATGTTACGTACCCAAGTGCAAAGCATGGCAACAGCTGATAGAGCTGCCAGAAGTTTCAGTTCCAATACATGAAAGACAAAGTAGTGTTGAAAAATTCGCACAAATATTGTATCAGAAATATCGATACATCGCCTAATAGACCTACTCTAATCAGACATTCCGATCGTGTGTTTCTTTTGTGTTCTAACAAATTAGTTCAATAACAGAATTCAATTTAGCACATAGAATTAAATTTTTGCATAGCAGCAATTATATATATTAGATAAATAATTTGTTAAGGACCGCAATAATGGATAAGTTACGTCGTGTTCTTAGCGGCGATGACCGCACACCGGAGGAAGAAAGCAGCATCATCACCCAGGTGAAACCATACTAAGTTATTTATCAACTTTTTATAACTTACTGAATTAATTTGCCTACGCTTGTGCGTCATGCGAATTTCTGCGCTACCATCGCTGGAACCAACATGTGTTTGAATTGCATTCCATTTACGACGATCAATGACCGATCTGTGACTCAACCGCCTTATCATGAATGGATTTACTATTCAACTACAAACAGATTAATGATATGTCAACATTAAGCTGGAGCACTCGCATCAAAGCGTTTTGTGTATGTTTCGTTTTGGGCATACTATTGTCTTTTCTCGGCTCCATTGCTTTGTTTCTGCATCGTGGCATTGTCGTCTTCGCTGTATTCTATACACTGGGCAATATCATCTCGATGGCCAGGTGAGTGGCTCAATGAAATTTCGCATTTGCTGGCTAATTACTTTGCTTTGCTGCAGCACGTGCTTCCTCATGGGTCCCCTCAAGCAGATCAAGAAAATGTTTGCCGAAACCCGACTGATAGCCACCAGCATCGTCATCGTCTCACTTGTCATGACATTCGTCTCAGCTATTGTGGTAGATTATTATTTATTTTTTAGTTGTTTTCAAACATCTTTATTGAGTTGAGATTGTTGTCTTTATTTTGTTTTTCTTTCTCTTTTTTTTTTTTTAGTTAAAAAAGGCCGGGCTCACGCTTATATTCATAATCATTCAATCCCTGGCCATGACCTGGTATTCCCTCTCTTATATACCCTATGCACGAGACGCAGTTCGTAGCACCGTTTCGGCATGCTTTGAGGTTTAGTCTAGTATTTTGTACAGTAATTTACAATTATATATAACTTTATATATAGTATGTATTTTTTTGAAAAACAATATAATTTGTATTATTATTAATATGATTTACTTATACAGCTCTTAAATGGGCGATGTTAAAAAAATGTATTAATCTAGTTTTAGAGATAGATTTCTTGTTTTCTTTCTCATTCATTCGGTTGTTTGCTTATTAACAGATTTAATATCAATTATACATACATATACACAATATAAATTTAATTTAATCAGTACAGTTTGCATAAATTGTATGTACACACAAATATTTTTCAAGAATTTTCTTTTTCTGTTCATTACTCCGTATTTTTTGCTTTACTCTTCGTTACCTTATTCATTTTTTGGTTTTACTAAAATGGCCTCACTTGATTTTCTTCTCTTTCACCGGCGACAAATTACCTAGAAAAACAATGGAAAGAAACACAAAAAAATAGAAAATGATAATTGAAAAGGGAAAGTGAATTGTAAAGATTTAAACAATTTTAATTTTAATATCGTAGTGCGCTGTGCCAGGTCCATCAAAGGATTTAAGTCGTGGCACACGAAGAATGCAATTCCACGGAGAGTAAAAGAAAAGTCGAAATGAGAGTGAAATGAGTTGTAGTTGCAGCTTACACAGAGAGCAGAGAGCCAAATGCATCAAAATAGCAAATATAACATTCGAAACCAAGGCGAGTGCAAAGGTGCGCTAATTCAAGTATAGGCTGGACTTACCTTTCGCAGGTGTGCCCTGTGGACTGTCTCCGGCTCGTTTACTAAGAACTGACGTCGACTGTGCCTGTGCCTCGGACTTCTTCAGTTGTCGTTGCTGTGGGCAGCAGAAATAGTTGTTGTTGTCGATTATAATGAATATAATATTTATGGCATTTCCGCATACTGCACTCACCTGCCAGACGACGGCCACGTAGACGAACGACACCGATATTAGCACCTGCACGGTCAGCCAAATCACAATGTTGATGGCTTGCGTGCGCTCAAACAACTCCTTGCCATTCTTAATACACAGAATGGCCTCGGAGACCATAATGGCGCCGTAAACCCAACACTGGGTGCCGACGCGTTTGCAGCGCGTGTCGGTCACGTACACATAGTATTGCCTGAAAGGTGCAATTCAATTAACATATACCAATTACATGGAACTAACTAAATTTACACACCTCACGGAGGGAGCCACAAAGAGTCCAATAAATATCAATCGTCCAATGACAATAAAATGATCTGGCGGCATCTCAAAGATGTGCTTCAAGAAGAACGTATTCAGCTCGGTGACCTGCCAGAAGATGACCAACTGCATCACGGCAGCGAAACGCATTGCTGTCGACTTGGGATCCAGCCAGCGGATGGCCGACCAACTCTCCGGCGTAAATTGCAGCATGGCACGCTTTATTTTGCCCGTAGTCGTCGATATATCCTTGATGCTGGCCCATTTGTATTCGCGCATTTCGAGTATTTGGCAGATCTTGAGACCGACCCAAATGCCAAGGCCATTGCAGATGATCACGTCCAGGATGAGCGCATCCCACCAGCATTCAATGAAGTTGGGCAGCAGATGGGCAAATGTGATCTCTGTTATTTCCCACATCACCGAGATGGCCCACAGTATGCCCATGTGACGTATAAGTATGGCCTTGAAGGCCCAGCCCAGAAAGTGGCCCCAAGCAAAGACATCCAAATGACCCTTGACACGTTCCCAACTAACGTCCGAGCAATTGACACCATATTCCTGAAAGAAAATATAGTTTTAGTATTGCCTCAGCTGCTTAAGCGGTCTCACTACTCACCTTCTCCATGTCGATGTGAAAGTTCTTCAGCTTTGGATCGATCCAATAGAATATGCTTCGTATTGTTGGATAATTTTGGAACATGAGAAACTGCAGCATGAGCAGGTACAGCACGGAACAGCCAAACAGGATGCGCCATACCGCTGGATGGGGGCGTGTAAACGGCCCATTGGGGAATGCGATAACCGAAACAATCAGAAAGAAGAACACAATGCACATCAGGCCCGACCAAATGTTATCATCTAGATTCGCCTCGTTCCTAGAAGTGTAATTAAATTGTGTGTTTTAGCTTAATGGGTTATAGCTTATAGTAAGTAGTCTTGTAATGATTTCCGTTTCAGTGGCCCTAATCAGTTCCGGACTTTGACTATTTATTTATTGTTATATTTCGTACTGGGCTAAGTGACCTTTTGTTTGAAATCGAAACGATTTGGCGCCTATTGTTGATAAAAACGAGATTTGTTACGGAACCATGGGGAGGAGGGTCTTCAATGCCCACGTCGACGTCGACGTCGACGAAAACGACGACGACACATTTGGCAACCGCATGTTCTACTGTTCAATTTCGATCTTTTCGAAGTTAGAGATGCGCACTTGACTCTAGGTCTTGCGCGAGAAGCACGAAAAATAACTGATAAGAACTATTGCAAGGCCTGAACATTTTGAAATTCATGAATAATTCATATTCATATTCATATTCATATGTATTAATTGATATTGTTTTTGAATATGTAAACAGTGTTGATTGAGAAATAGTAAAATTAAAATTGAATATATTGCATACATAAATTATTAATTTGTATTTATCTGAAGTTTTGTTTGTCCGTTAAATTTGATGTGTAACCAACATTCTTTTCAGATTCCTATTGGAGTCCATCCTTAATCAGAATGAGCTCGTGTTCATCCTAACAACTTTCCAGTGATGTGCGTCTCACGCGTTCATCTCTACATTTTAATCACAAATTTTTTTCTGTTTTGTTAATTTCGAAAGTACTTAAATAGTCAACCAAGGCTGACGGGCGCATGTCGCCAGGCGCAACAATTGCTTTTTGACGGCCCGTTGACCAAGTTAATGCGCGAAATGCTGCTGATGCTTAGTCGCGCATAGCGTGGCTGACGAAAATAGAAAGATCGATAAATGTGCACGACGGACAGACGGACGGACGGCCGCACTAATCTCCTTTGGCTGAGCTGCACTTACCTGACGAAGGCGAAATACATGACCGCCAGCACCGAGACGGCCAGCAGTGTGATGGTGTGGGGCTTGTAAAAGAAATCCAACGAAATGTCATCCACGGGACGTTCGTTGACAATGACAAAAGTCTGGGCGATTTCCTCCTTTCGCACTTTGCCGTTGTCGTTGCGTTTAGTGGGCGTGGCTGGTGCACTGGCCGCGCCAGATATGTATTTTGTGGATGCGGCAGCCTTGTCGCCACCGGAGCTGCTCCGCTCCTCACCCTGTTGCCCATCGCCGGCGGCTGCCGTGCCGTGTGCGCTGGAACGTTTTACCATGTCTCTGCTACAGCAATACTTCAACAATCAGCGTAGACTACGGCTCTGATGGCGTGATTATGGTGATAATGTTGTTATGATAGCACGCGGACAGAGCAAAGGGTTGCGCAACATTCGCTCCACAGTTTATGGGATGCTCCGTTGTCCGAGCCGATTGAGTTATAGCGCTCCGGTAGCGAGCAACGATGCTTAATGTTTATAGCAACTGTTTAATACAATTGTTAAATGTTTTATCTGATGATTTTGGCGTTGATGTTGCCCTGTTGTTAATTAATAAGCATGCTGCGCGGCGTTTAGAAGAGCACGAGTGCAAAGAAACCCAATCTGACACTTGCCGGGCAGCAACTACATGCTCTGATTTGTTGTGCCGTCACAAACAGCGTTGCCATATGTGGCAGCGTTGCCAGGTGACGGGTTTGCCATTCGTCAAGTACTCAGCTTACATATAAATAGATCTTATTTGATTTATATATGATATATATAAATCACAAAAAATTTATTTTACTTATGTAGCAATTATTTATTTTGCTGTCAGTTTGACTTTTCTGTGATTAATAATTCCCATTTTCCCTTGGGTCTGGTATGCAGGTCATTTGTCTTTGCAGCCCTGGGCATCAGCTGCGACACTTGTTGTGCTCGCCTTAAATACATAGTTTATTGTGAAATAATAATGCTGGACAAGGTAAAAAACGTTATCGTTGTGCTCTCGGGCAAGGGTGGCGTGGGCAAATCAACAGTTAGCACGCAATTGGCGCTAGCATTGCGAGCAACCGGTCATAAGGTCAGTTATATCACAATATGTTACCATCTCTCACATTTCATATGAAGTATGTTTTTATTGATAGGTCGGTCTTTTGGATATAGATCTGTGCGGTCCCAGTGTGCCACATTTGCTGGGCCTTGAGGGTCGTGATATTTACCAGTGCGACGATGGCTGGGTACCTATTTACACGGATGAGAGCAAAACTCTTGCCGTCATGTCCATTGGATTTTTGCTCAAGAATCGCAATGATCCCGTCATTTGGCGAGGACCCAAAAAGACTATGATGATTAAGCAGTTTCTTACCGATGTCAAATGGGAGGATCTGGACTATTTAATCATTGACACGCCGCCTGGCACCTCGGACGAACACATCACGGTTATGGAATGCATGCGCGAGGTGCCTTGTAATGGTGCAATCATTGTGACAACGCCGCAGGGCGTGGCCTTGGATGATGTGCGCAAAGAATTAACCTTCTGCAAAAAGACCGGCATCAAGGTGCTGGGCATTGTGGAGAATATGAGCGGGTGAGTAAATCACAACAGGTGAATTGATCAGCATATGAGATTGCCAGAGATAGAGAGTGAGGGGGAGAGAGCTTAGGCTCAGTAATTTAGTATTCACTAAGCTCTTGTCTTGTATTAACATTTCGGTATTTTTTACAGTTTCGTTTGTCCGCACTGCAGCGATTGCACGAACATCTTTTCGTCGTTTGGCGGCGCGGAACTGGCGCAGTTGGCTCAGGTGCCACTTTTGGGCACCCTGCCCATCGATCCGCGCGTTGGCGTTTTGGCAGGCAGCACCGCATCGGTGTTGAATGAGCTCGCAGATTCCAGCACGGCGCAGGTATTGCGCAGCATTGTCCAACATTTGGATGGATTGACAGCAGTGCCAACGTCCGCTTAAATGGACAATGAGCGGCACCCCCTTCCCCGCTTTTCCATATATCAGAGACTTAATTTCTTCAGTTTTTCGCTTTATTTGATTTTCGTGTATTTGGGGGAGAGATGCTAGAAATGCTTCTTATTCTAATCTTTTTGGTATATCAATTATTTTAATTTTTGTTTCATTTGTTTAATATATACTTTTTCGATGTTTTCTAATACAATTTATCACAATGCATTGTTTAATTAAGAAATAACTGTCTTAGATTGTGTGTACTCTAATGCACAGAAGCCCCTTTTAATGTGGGTAAAATGGGGCATGGCCTCATCTAACATAGTCATTCCTTATCGTATATGTATATAAAATATAATCATGATTTTGTAGCTTATACAGATTGATATTTGTTACTTTTCAAATGTTAGTTAGAATGCCCTTCTAAGTTTTGTGTGTGCTAAAGTTGATGAAATATTACAAAAATCGCGGATTTCGCTGGAGCATTGTCTTTAGGCGGAGAGTTCGCAACGAACTGTTCCAATAAATTATAAATAATAAATTAGTATATATTTATGCTACTACTATGAATATATGTATGTAAATGTGGGAATGATATCGATTTATTTTACAGTCTCGTTTTGTTGTTTGTCCATCAACGGCTGATCCCCTCGTTTATTAGGATCTTGCGACTTATTCGCCTCCAAACACGGCACCATATCGTACTTCTTGCAGTGTTTGCAATGGGCTTTTACTCGCCATGCCATGGCCAGAGCAACGATAATGACGATGAAAACTACAGATAGCCCTATAAGTAAATCATTTTGCTTATTGCTTGGACGCACTGCATCATCAGAATTTTGCGGATAATGATATTCATTATCGTCGATGGCTGACTCACGATGCCAACTGGTCGACTCAGGAGTCTGTGCGGCAGGAGCCGATGTGGCCGATGTGGCTGAGAGTGTTGTATATTCCATGCTGTTAGCTGTGCTGCTGCTCATGCTGCTCTCCTCATCTTCTTCCATGTTTTTTACTGTGCTGCTCCCCTTCGCACTATAAAGATAAGCTGGTATGGTTGTTCCCATTCCCATGGTCTTTATTTCCTTGTCTGTCGGCTGCTCAGTTGTGCTTTCGAATTCCTCCTCACTGTTGAGCTCTTGAGAATCCTCCTTGAATTCAGTTTCAACAGTTGAGCTGCTCTCTGTGGATGGGCTGCTCCAAGCAGTTGAGCTGCTCTCTGTGGATGGGCTGCTCCAGGCAGTTGAGCTGCTCTCTGTGGATGGGCTGCTCCAAGCAGTTGAGCTCATCTGTATAAAAGGTGTTGCCTCTGTGGTAATGATATCTGGCTCAGCACAAACGGGACAACAGTCGTCTGGCTCTTTCTTTGGATTGGCGCATTCGGGAGTCTTGCATAGCACACTCACGCAGCTGGTTTCCATGCCAGCGATGCAGGTGCAGGTTTCGCAGCCATTGCCCTGGATCCAGGATTCGTTGATCGACTTATACTGTCCATCACTGGACAGACAGTTCTCCGCTGGCCCCTCGTACTGTTGGCACTCTGAGGTGCACATTTCATGGCAGCTGGAGCATCTGATGCAATTATCTCTCCAATAGATGATGGGCCTGCCCTCAACACAGTCCGGTATCGGGCCGCATTCATATTTGGAGCAACAGCTGCCCGGCTGTCCGTTGCCTGTGCTCAGTTCATGGAGCACCAGGCCCGGCTTACATCTGGGCTTCTTTGAGCATTCGTCGCACGTGCAGTAGCTTTCGAGGCAGGAAAGGCTTTGGTTAAACTTGTAGGCAAGTCTGCTATGTGCGGGGCAATCAGGCGAGTTTCTCGTATTGCATATAAGTATGGGATTGCGATAGCCTAATTCGAGATCTGCAATGAAAGAATTGAGAAAATATTAGCCAAAAGCAAACAGTATTAGACAAATTCCAATTGGGGCTCTATTTGGATGGCATGTGAACTGAATACGTTCCACAATTGTCTAAGGTCAGTAACTGACCTTAAAAGTTGATAAACGACATGTTGTTATCTCGTTTGATTTGTTGGGTCTGAAGGGTAAAAATTCGTAGGTTTGCCTCGTTGCCTGATAAAACAGAAAAAAGAATTTGTTGATCGGTCTGATATGAACGAATGTCAGTGGAACGAATGTGGAACGCGAGTTGTATAACTTAGTAAGGCATGCCAAAGTGTTACTGGGCCAAATGATTCATCCCAATGGATTGTGGCTTAACTTGGCAATAAATATAGTAGTGAATATCAAAATAAATTTCAGTATATACATATACATATGTATATGTATCTGTATAAGTATATAAGTAAATCTATATCACTATCTGTTATTTCCACTTTAATTTGAAGTTGGATAATACGCAAATTGTTTACTCAATTCTTATCGAGTGAAATGATGTATATATACAAAAAGAGACATATATACATACATATATATATAATTTTTGGTTTTTTTTCTCCTCTCTACTGATTGTATTTAATATGACGCCGCATTTGTCAATAGAGGGTTTTAGGTAAATTTATAAAAATTGCAATTTGATTAGCAATAGATTGTGGACATTTGACGAGACCGCGAGACGCACTGCCGAGTGTCAGGGACAGCCCCTAAAAAAGTATCGTATCTCTTTTCGCTGGGATACAAAGTACAGTGGCACACGCTCGTTTATCGTTTATTTATTGTTATTGATTTTTGACATTTTATCATTGAATTAGCAAATGACCGGAGGGACCGTGGGGGACCGTGGGGGACCGGGGGGGGACTGTGCGGGCCCAAGGGGAATGTGAATGGCAGGCAACAACAATCAGTACAGTACAACAACTACAACAATAAGAATGAATTATTTTGGGCAAGAATTTCTTTGGAGCAATCGATCGATCCAGCTATCCGACGACCGATATCGCGATCTCTTTCCATTGAATCAATAATTTTCAATATGCCATATCACGTTTCGTTTGCAAAAGTACTTTTATTATTATTATTATTATTATTACGCGAGTACTGTGTGCCCTTTAAGACAATTAATTGATAAGGAAACTTTCCTAAATATTAACAAGGCTATTGATTTCGATATATATAATATGTATATATATGAATATGGTAGGTTGTTTTTTCTTTTTCATTCTATATGAAATTGACGTCATAGATGCCGCGTATAGGTGAAGCGCAGCGTATTCAATTGAACATAATTTAAAATAGATATAACTTACGCTATCAAAGAAGACGGATCTATATACATACACACACAGACAGAGGGGGCGGGGGCATTTATTGCGAAGCGCATAGAAGGGCGCACATAAGTCACGACACTTTGCGTGATCTGTTAGAGATGTAAGTGGAATTCTAGGGCATATCAATGTGTGTGTTGGCTTGAGGATGATGTTGATATTTGAGACAATATCTCTTGTTCTTCTTCTTTATTGTTTTTTATCATTCATACTGCAGCCAAAAGAGAATTGTGCTGGAAAAGCGTTATACAATGTGCTTTAATGTGGGCTCAGCAATTGCGGGCTTTGGCTGTGCTTTCTTTTTTTTTTTTTTTTGTTTTTTTCAATTATGATTATTTTCATTTTGCTTGGGGTTTATTGACCCGATTGGTCAGCAAAAAACTTTAAAAATAAAAACAGAAGAAAAGTGCCAAGATACGCAGTTAAACCAGTTAAATAAAAGCAAACACACTGCCGACACGTCCAAAGGTCTTACATTTAATGCAAATTAACTAGGCATATATCCGTCTTCGCAAGTGGGTCGCGCCGCTACTCTCATTAGCAAAAGCGATGCGGGAGGCGGATGGCATCCGCGATAACGAATCTGCGAAATGTATGAATACCAGAAGTGCTAATTACGTCACTTGTTAGTATTTTCATACACCCTATCTACCTGCAGCTAGATGGCTAGGGTATATGAGCTGTGAATAACATTTATTTGAAAATGCCATGGTTAGAAAAACTTGTAGAAGACCGGTGTGATATGGACATAATGAATATTATAATCATCTATAATATATGCATATAGGTATATTATAAATATATAAAATATGTTACTTTGTTAGAACTTGAGTTTGGATTCCTATGTTGAGATAAAAGTGTTAGATAACATTTAAAATGCATTTCTATACTCATTGTTTTTAAGATAACAGCTAGCAATGGCAGATACCAATGTCTGCATTAGTATATAGAAAAGATCAGTTGTCTCCTCGGACTAATACAGGGTATCTACAGGTACATCCATACTGATAGTTAGCTTCCTTGTTTTGTTGTTAAACAACACACAGACAGACACACATACACACACAAACTTAGACACATTAAGCGAACATTTCATATTTCGTTAAATATATATATATGTATATATTTTTTTTTTTCGTTTTTGATTGATCTACAGTCGAAGGTTGCATGCAAAAGTGCAATTCGTTTTTTGAGTCTGTTTTTCCAGTTTCCAGATGAAATAAGCTCCAGAGTCTCTATACGTAAACTTCTAGCGTCATCGGTATTTAAAAAAAATAAATAAATTTTAGTACAATTAGCTGGCAAGATTGTTGACATGCCGCCACTGTCAGTCTCACACAGCCTGACATGCAAAGTTACTTAAAATACAACAAATAAATATATGTGGAGGGAGAGAGAGAGAGAGAGGGAGAGCAAACTAAAATTAAATACTTCAAACAAGAAGAGGAGAGGTCGTCGCTGTCGTATCTTAACTACAGTATTGCTTTGAGGTCGCGAGGAGAAACGGGTTGATGTAGCCGTTACAAACTTGTGGTTGACAATCACAACAACAACACCAACAAACAAAGCAACAGCAACAGCAACAACAACAACCACAACTCCCAAACTGATGAAGTAATTGTTGTTGTTCTCTTAGTCAACGTCTGAGGCTTGGGTAGCCTTAAAGCTCAGATATCAACATAACTGCGCATACGCTCTTTTACACCTAAGAACCTAATTGATGCTCAGCCTGTCAAAATATACATATGTACATATATAGTATGTATATACATAAATAATTTTGTTTAATTTTCCCTCAACACACGTCAATCACGTTTCGTAAATTTGCGCACAATTATCGTATATTATTATTATAAATTTGTGGGACTTTAAAAGTTCATTTGCAATGCTTTCAAATTATGGAATTGATTTACGTTTGAACATTGACTGCGCTTCATAGTAATTACAGTTGTTAAATAATTAAAAATAGAGAAATATATATGTATATAGTAGAGAAGTCTTACTAACTTTGAATATATATTTGAGAGATCAATATATAGTTTCTTCATTTATTTAATTGGATTTAATATATATAAAAATGTTGCCCAAAGCCTAAACTAAATGGCTAACAACTAAGCCTGTTGGCTAAGCCCGACTATAAAATACCCGGAACTCACTTTTCAGCGTGAGATTGGAGAACTTAATACTTTCGGCCTAGTGCAAATCTGAACTAAAATATATACATATATTATACATATATATTTAAGAGTGTTGCATACACTTTATCAATGCGAAATATTGAATGAAAATCATTATAAATATTAATAAATAAAATGTTATACGARAATCCAATTACCGTGTTTTCGTGGTCTACACAACGATTTGTTATAGAATTTATAGTTTAATAACAGTTAAAGCTAGTTTAATAGGAATATTTATAAAACAAATACTCCGTATATATGTATGTATGTATGTAGCTAAAGAAAAGTCACTCGAAACGTAAGAGTCTTTGTTCAAGTTAAGTTGCCACACTTCTTCAATAGCAAACAAACTGATTACAAAATCCCCCTTGCATATATAAATATATACCCACACATACATGCATATACGCTATCTATCTATGTGTGTGTATGTGTGTGTGATTGATCAATCACAGTTAGAGCACGTCACGGTCGCATTTGGGAGCGCTGTTCGGTTCCGCCTGGCGATCAATTAGTGAGCTGGCTCGTACCCCCCGATGATATTCCGTATTTATTGTCCTTGGCTTCATGCTTAGCACGAACCATTAAAGCATTAAAAATTAAGCTCTTATTTTTTTTTCCTGTTCTAACTGAAGCAATCACACATATATACGTACACCTATCTCTGTGTGTGTGTGTGTGTGGGTTTATATAAGGTTGTTCGCTGAATATTGCGTAAACAAAACATATTTTTTATGCGCTCGGTCGTACGACAGTCGACAGCATTTAAGTTTATCTTAATTATAGATCAATTATAATATACAGAAGTACATACATTATAAACCCGAAAAAAACGTATGTATAATGTTACGACTAGTAGCCAAGAAGCATTCCCATTATTAATTATGCGTCAAAACAAACACTGTTAAATTTTTTACGTTTTGGACAGAGGCGAGTGCGTACATTCTGAGTAATGTCGCACAATGGGCGGTGGGGATTAAATTAGCGAACAGAAACGGAATTTGGGCTATAAGTAGGAAATTGTAGCATTGCTAACAGAAATTAATAAAATATAATGTATAGATCTCTCTGAATATGTCAAAACAGGTAAGCAGTTAAAATAAATCCAAATCTTTTTTTTTTTAATATAGGTTTTATATTCCCGTATAACTTACCAGTTTTGTTTTGCTGTTCATAGTTATCTTCTAAAGATCTGATAGATGCTAAAAATATAGAAAAAAAAAGGTTTGTAAATATTAGAGAAAGTGTTGAAAAACCTCAATCAACATAAAAATTTATAAATATATATATTATGAATAAAATTAATATATTTATTATATATCATGACATAAATATCAAATCTCAATTAAATAATCTATATATTGTATATCATAGCATTAATTAGAAATTAATTAGAAATCTCAATAAATTAAAAAATATTTGCCATGAACTTTGGGAATGTGTACCACTGTGCCATTGTCTCTCTCAGATTGCGGTTTGCTATTTTGTATGCCGGTATGGCGCTCTGAACTTTGGACTGCTAATTGTTTAGTTATATTTTGCTCAAATTGCACAATTACAATTAAATTATGAGGCAAAGCGGCGCAAAGCGTCTGATTAATGCCCGTAAATGTGATATATGATATATGATCCCATCGAACAGATGCGCTAAATAATATTATTATTATTAGAGCATCTGTTTATGTTGCATACGAATGTATTTATTTATTTCATTTTAATGGGCCCGCTGGGATTGTGACGGCAGATGTGACGATATAAAAACAGCTCTCTCTCTCTCTCTCTCTCTGTATCTCTTCGTCTCTTTCATATTCTCTCTCTCTATGTATATATATATATTTATGAGTAATAACGTACGTATGTAGACGACCCATTAAAATGCCTGTTTTTGCGCATACTTCTGCCGAGATTCTGGTCTAGATTGTCCGCGGCCACTGACCTCAATAGTTGATGGCCAACTTTATGTACAAGCTGACCGAGTGATAGACTAAACTTCCTCTGGATATGTACATATATGTATATATATATATATGTGTATAAGTACAACAGTGCGTATGATTCAGTGTGGGCGATTTTGAGCGTTGCCCTTTAAATGACTTCTTACGATAATATATGTGATATGCCATTTTTCGAAAAATTCATATATACGCTATAGATTCGGTAGAGGTTTTATAACTTAAATATATAGAAATATTATTTCATATAAATACATATTTAATTAATCAATATTTTCTTGTACAGTCTCAGCTCATCTTTAAATACAGAGCATTTGTACGTCGCATACATCTAGTTTTCCCCGTACTCTCTATTTCCTTCGCCCACAATCTGTCTCTTTGTAATTTATGCGTATTTAGTTGTGCCAAGTTTTCAGCTCAGTTCCTGTCGCATCACACATTATTTGCGTTAATTGTTTGTCACTTCAACAATTAATTAAATCACACAGCGAAAGATTAAACCGAATTTTGCTTTACTTAATAGCGGACAGAAATGATTTATGTATATTAGACATGAACAGTGCCAACAGAACAGAACAGAGCCGAACAGAACTGAACATGAAGCGCATTGAGATATCTGGACATGTGTTGACTTTGGCTTTATAAACGATTCATTTAATTTCGTTAAATATCATCGTCCATGTAATCAATGAAGTCAAGTCAAACGTAACCGATACGCAAATCGAATACCCTGTAAATATCTATTTGAGCGGTATTAATGCTCTTCGAATGAGTCACGGCCTGAGCATTCCCACATAGATTAATGAAGGCCGGAAGTTGATTCATAATCGAATTTGCACTAAATTATTTATTAGTTAGATCTTAATGATCTGAGCAACTGCCTGAATTCTCTACGATAAAAAAATTCTTGGAAATCTTGTCTGATCTGATATATCATGCTAGAAAGCGAACCACAGACAATTTTTTACTTTCCCTGGCAAATTCCTCGACTATTGTTTAAAGATTTCCAGCAAACACACACACAGGCATACACACACAGCTAATAAATATGTAAATATATTTTGGGCACATTGTTCAAGTCAAGAGGTTGCAATGCCTTATTGACTAATAGCACTATATCATTGATCCAATTATAGAAAAGGCAAATTTGCAAAATATTATTAACTGGCAGGGAAATGCTTCTCGCCTTGTGAATTATAAATTTGTAAATCGAGAACAGTGAATTTTGAATTGTGTCTGTCGCACCTACGCAGATGTTTTTCCACTTAATTGGGCGTAGTGTTTGCGGGTCTGACTGACTGGCTGGCACCAGAAACCCATGGTTTCGGCCTCGATTGACCGAGGCAGACGTCTGAAAATACTAAATCCAACTATGTCTGGCCCTGATGCATGCCCACCTTAATCGGAAGCCTTTATTCGCTAATGGAATGCTTAAAAGAGCAAATATCAATGACTAATGCAGTTGTTTGTGTGTGTAGTTTTTGATAAAGCCGCAAAGGCGCAACACCGAGTTGGTTATTTAACTGCAAATACTGCTTATTAGATTAGACGCAAGTGAAACTGACTTTTGCTTAAGGTATTTAGGCTAATAAACCTATATAAATTTAGAAATGACGTAGCGTACGCCATATAGAGTGCAAGTTCATAGCAATAACAAATTAATTTAAGACGTAATTGAAAATGGATTTTTGAGTTAAAGCTCCATAATATAACTTTCATAATATATAAGATAGGTATGTGCATTTAAGAATATCTAATCTAATATTCTTTAAGAATATCTAATCTTTCCAGATTGATTTCTATTGGGAAAACCTAAATTTACTACGCGATATGTGGCGAAGAGAGTTTGAAATTATTATATCAGATATAGATTATATATATAGATAATATATAGATATAGATTATAATTTCAGTGTAAAATAATTAACAATATAAATATATAGTATACATAAGTTTACCTACCTATATTATTTAA